TGTCAAAACTGGAGAGTGTAGTTTGGGTAGCTCCTGTCCAAATATGGCGACTGTGCTCCATTTTCGGATTGATCTGGCTCTTATAAAGGTAGAGGATAGCATGAGGAGTTAGGTACTTACTAGAGTGATACAGAGAGCTGATCATTTTACCTGCATCAATGATCATTTTACCTGCAGCAATGGATCATATATAGGAATTCCACTCAAGGTCAGGTGTGAGTTTGAGGCACAATGTCTTCTCAAGGCACAGTGCCTCCTCAAGGGGACATCCATTCATCATGGCTAGTGGTAGTTCAGGGTCTGATTAGCGGTGATGGAATGTAACCAGTTTGGTTTTAGAGGCATTGAATGTAACCAGCCAGTTTTTTTTACCACTGGGAAGTTAGTGTTAGATCGGAAGAGAATTCAGCTGCTAGTCTCTGATCATCAAGGCTTTTAGAGATGTGGCCATATATCATCATATCAGCATAGACATTTACAAATGATGAGAGTATATTCTTAGACATATTCTTATTTATATAAATCAGAAAGAGTACTGTTCCAAGAAGTGACCCTTAGGGGACACCAGTTTTGACCACCACAGCTTTGGAGGACTGGTCATTAATAATTTTCTTCAGGGATCATATCAGCATAGTCATTTACAAATGATGAGAGTATATTCTTAGATAGATCATTCATATAAATCAGAAAGAGTATTGTACAAGAAGTGACCCCTAGGAAACACCAGTGTTCACCACCAGGACTTTGGAGGACTGGTCATTAATAATTTTCTTCAGGGATCTACCTATTAGGAAGGATATTATAACAGAGAAAATCCTTCCAGTGATTTTATAGCTGGAGAGCTTGTGTAGCAAACCTTTGTACTACACCTTGTCAGAGACCTTCGTGATATCTAATGCTATGGTCCTTGTGGTCTGTGTGTCCTCAAGAGTCTCACTAATTTTGTGTGTAACAGTAGCTAGGACATCACCAGTGAATTGGGCTGATCAAAAACCATATTGCTCATTGCACAAGAGTTCCCTTTAGTAACTCATCTCTTTTTTTTGTTCACCTCTGCTGTGGACAGGTATTGAACAGTTCTTTGGGACATCACTTGATCGCTTTTATTCACTGGGCCATGTGTCCAATCTACTGCAGTGAAGAAAATAAAGAATTTGGTTTGAAATTCCAACATCTGAAGATGGTCAGAGTTTACAATGGCTGAAACATTGTGAATATGACAATAAAGATGAGGACCACCATCCAAACAATGTACATAGTTTAAATAGTTCCTTTCTAATGTTTTTCGAATACCAACAGCTGACACCAGTGGGATATAGATAACTTTTTTATGCTAAATTTTGTGCATTACAAGGCCCAAGAGCCACTGAATGAAGACAGTAATCAAATGAGGTTTTTTTTTCTGGATGTAAGAATTATAGGTTATGTCAGATAATGGTGATTCTAGATTTGAAAAAGTTAGGATTGTAGTGCTTAGAGAAACATTCTCTTGGGAGTGTGTTCCACATAGTGGCTCTTAGGGAGATGTTCAAATGGAAGTTCCTTCTCACTAATAAAATATAAAGGAAATGAAAGTTTGCTTCTGTGTACATGGCATGGCAGGTCTAAGTTGTAAAGGTCTGAACTGGTGGAACTAGAGAAGGGAATATTTTCCAAGGAATCTTTTCTGTCAAAAGGATTCTAGTATCTATATGCACGGCCTCAGTGTCTATGTTTGTGAAAACCTCAGCTGGATGAAATTACTACTAGATTGGCTATGAGGTCTCATCATTGTACTGTTAAACTTGTGAGAAGTAACCATAAGTTCTATTCTAATCATTTTTTCTCACGCTTTTCATATCTTTTTCAGTTTCAAAAATTTAAATCTAACATCAATCACTATCTTCTCTCTTCCTGAATCTTGTTCATTTACTGTTTTTTCTCTTCAACAATGTCTTCTCATTCTCTTTCACTCCCAGTAACCCTTGGCATCTTAATGTCATTATTGCTTTGTTTGGGGTGAAATGATAAAAATATGGCAATAGAGTAACAATAGCCTTCTGATTTTGCATCTGTGAGAAAGGGCTTCTAGGGCGGGAAATAATTAATTTCTTACAGGGAAACATAAATGTTTTGAATTCTATCAAGGCTGGAAAGGGTGGGTTGGACAGCTCCAGTCTAGATATGGCAGCTATACTCCATTTTGGCATTGATCTGATTCTTGTAAAGGGAGAACATAGCAGGTGGTATAAGGAACCAACCATTTTTCTAAAATCTTCAGCAATGGATCATAGATATGAAATAAACTTGAATCCCAGTATATGCTCAAAGTAAGTTTGGGAGCCTGTTTTTAGTGTGGTGCCATTCATTGTGACTGGTGATCATTTAGGGTCAGCTCCATGATAGTGGGAATTTTTTTATTTGGTTTTTAAAGTATTTAAAGTTACAAGTTAGTTTTTCCTCCATTGGGTTTTAGAGCTGAGTCAAATGAGAGATCAGTCATCAGGTTCTGGTTGTCTTAATTTTTGGTAGTGCATCCATATACTCTATCTCAATCAGATTATTTTCTCTCACAGATTTTTTATTTGTTAACTTTTGACAGAACTTATGATGTGAGGAATTATCATTCAGGGATCATATATGCATTTACAAAATTTGCTATACAGACCACACACAACTCAACTGTTGTACTCTCCAACCATCTTCAGGTATCAGTTTTCATACTGGGTTTAAAACTAAATGCTTTCTTCACCTGTAGCAAATTGTGGGCCTCACATGACTAAAGAATTACAGTTACTGTGTATTTTCACAGCCCAGGCTTGCTGGAAGATTGATGATTTTATCATGTCACCATCTCTAGAGTGGTTACCAACCAATGCTATAGAACCTATTCTGTCCTGGTATTTGACTCATAGCAAAGAGAAGATATGGATTCAGACTTTCTAATGTTTTTTCAACAGCTGACAAGTGGGATATAATATATTTTGTGCATTAATAACAGAGCCAGAAAGCTTACAAAGAGTTTTTTTTCTGGATTTATTAGACTAGATTTGACTATAGCACTGAAAATTTTATATTTATTATGATGGATAGTTACAAGCAACAAAGCTGATGGGATGTGCTTATTTTATTACTACACCAAGTGTATTTATCTATAAGTGAATGTAACAATGCAAAAGGAACCAGCATTATTTTCCACTGAATGTCACCATAAGTTCTATTCTAACCACAATTACAATCTTTTTAAAAATAATGCTAACATCAATGATCACAACAGCATAAAATATGCTAACTGAATAAATAAATGAAGGAATGAATGTGTGGGGTGTATCATCCATGGTAGTACCTTTGTAGTAAAGCATCAACTCTGCTTTGCACAAATGAATTGGGATACCGAACTGTACTGGGCCATGGCATATATCTTACTCTTACACATAGCTCCAAAAAGATGCATTGGCACTGCAACAGTCACACACCAGTTAACAGCATCAACTTGGGATTAAACTGTGTGAGAAGCTGTGCCTCAGAGGTCAACGACTTTACAAGTGGTTGGAAGAACTTCTGATAAAAGAGATGGGGGTAACCTCAACATCATTGCCACCAATGCACTAGTTTCCTTTGAATGTCACCATGAAACACAATTACATCAGAAATAAGGGAAGTGATGACCAGAGTGGTGCAAAATGCACTTAATGACTGATGAATGTAACAAAATCAGATGGAATTTGAACTCGGCTCTCTGATTTCACATTCTGAGACACAATCTATTACACCAATTGCACATCCATATATATATGCTGGATAACCTTCTTCAAATTTCAAACTGAACCCTTTATTCAATCAATGGGGCTAGATTGTTTACATTCCACTTTCCATGTTTAGGTGATATTTTATAGCAGTTAATACTCACCAGATTATTCAATTTGTATTGCTTGTTTGTTTCTTCAACAGAAGAAGATATGTGAATTTTCAGTAGAAGAAACAAACAAGGAATACAAAAATGAATAAAATTGGTATGAACTGGTAAGAAACATCCCCTCAGCATGAAAAGCAGAATGTAAAAAATCAATACTTTGGATTGAATAAAGAGTTTGGTTTCAAATTCCAGAAGTTTATGTGTACAAAGACAGACATCCAAAGAAGACCTGAGGGTACAATGGTGGAAATACTGTGAATATAACAAGCAAGTACAGGTTCAAATAGTAAAGTCTATAGTAATTCTTATTTGTGTCATGAAATATTATTGTGTAGTCTAATGAAAGCATGAGACTACATGTATAATATTACATTTTATTCAATGCTGGACTTTGTCATACCTTACTGGTATGTGTGTGAATGGGTGTGCCCACTAGCCTTCATCTGACTGTAGACCTTATATTCTAATGTATGCTATCATAGACTGCTCTTATGTCTGTAGAGGGTGTTTATATATCTATATCTTTTGTATGTTTCTTTTTCAGCCACATCACATTGAAACAGCAGTTCCTGTAGGATCACTGAAGTTAAGCAATATGGAGCTTGATTAGTACCAAGTGGTGTAAGCTTGGATGTATGTGTGATGTAATGGATAATGTTAATTGGTGAGTTGAGTTCCAATTTACTAATACTCTTGGGAAAGTGATGAATCCAACTTATCTCTCCCAGCTATGATGATTTTTATTGTATTTTATTTTTGGGGGTTATTTCCTTTTATTTATTAATTTTCTATTCTTTTTTTTATAATATAAATTCATTGAATATTTTAGTTCTTTAATATATTCTGATATATATATTTTTTGAAGATTTTGATCAAATTGATTGAGATAAACGATTTAAAAATGACACTTGGCTTTTCGGTAGAATTTGGAAGAATCTTTCTTTTATGAACTGTCTCCCTTCAGGAAGAGTACAATCTTCTCTCTTCACAACTTCATAGTCTTTCTTGCTCTTAATAAAGTTTGTCTTTTCACCATCTCATACACTGCTCCCCATTTATATATTCTCACTGTTTTCTTCTGTCTCTCTTGCCTTCAAGCATACAACCACATCATGTTGAAACACAAGTTTCTATATGATCACCAAAGTTAAGCAATGTCAAGCCTGGTCAGTACCTAGATGGATGACCACTTGGAAATAACAGGTGCTGTAACCTTGAATATGCAGGTGGTGTAATGGATAATGGCTCAGAATTGATAATCAGAGAGCCAAGTTCCAATTCCCATTGGGTTCATTATATTCACTTACATGCAAATACGTTTGAAAAAGGTATAAAACCGCCTCTTCTCCCCACCAACTATGGGTTAATTAATAAGACTTGTATCATTAAATCATTATTATTACCAAAAAAATATTCTTACAATCTAAGAATATTTTCTGACGTTAAATAACCTGCAAAGAGTTAAAGTGTCAGAAAGAAATTTTTTTCACAGGCTGCTGGCTACTTTGAAGGATACTGAGTGCAAAGTTTATTTTTGCATAGTCTGAGTCGATCTATATACTGTACGTTTTGTCTCAGTCAAGCTATATACTGTACGTTTTTTTTAAACTGAAAATGTTAATGCAAAGTAATTCTATCAACTATTAACAATTGTTTTCTTTGGTAATTAAAGAATTTCTAAGTATCTATATAGAGAACTGTAATTTTGTTATCTTGGTCATCAGTGTCATTAAATGTGTAGCTTTGCAAAGATGTTTCACCAGTATGAATCTGCATTAATTGCAAAACACACCCAAACTTTTACAAAACCAAAACCAGTAATGAGAAGATGCTACCAATCAGAAATGCTACAAATTCATTTGTTCAGTAATTAAAAATTTTGATTGCATCCATAGCTGATACTAATTTCATCAATATATCATTCCTAATAATCATCTGACTGGCTTTCATTAATATGTGTCATTCTTTGAATGCTTTCTTTTGTCCAGATTTTGGATTGAACACTTTCAACATATTATACTCAAATACACATCTTACTTTTTATTTTCCTAACAGGACATATTGATAGACACAATCTTAGCAACACAGATGTAGATGACACTATGTTGATGACAGGCACAAAAATAAACCTCCTAGAAAAGGTAGTAAAAGAAAACAGGAAGATAGGTCTGACTATCAAGTGCAAAGAAGAGAGAATATGATTGTTAGCAAGAGGAAAAGCCCAAGATATGTGATAAGAATTACTTTTCTTGCCTTCAGTATATAATATATCCTGTCACTGTTAAATTCTCTAGGCTTTCTTTCTATATTATACATCACTGAAATTACAACTTTCTTTTTGGTTTTGAGCCTAAGTGTATTTTCACTCCCCTTTCCGGTAAAAATTCCTTATTGTTCACTTGTTCCATCTATGATATTTTCAGCATCATTCTGTAGAATTACATCTATGTTGCCTCAAGTTTCCTCTTCATCTGTGAGAAAATTGTCCAACATTCATTTCCATATAAGAGGACTGATATTATATAACACTTAAACACTCTTTTCCTAGTTTCCAGTAAAATTTTCATGTTTCATAATACTTTGTTTTAGCTTTTAGAAGGCACCTTTCACTATTCCAGCACATATTAAGATTACCTTGTCAATATTTCCTGTCATCTGTTATAACGCATCGCAGACAAATAAATTTTCTCTACCTACTTGATTTCAATGTCTCAATATATAGCTCAGTCTTTGTACTGCCTCTTTTGCTGGCAACTATGCATTCATTAGTCCTTTCTTCTTTCTTTCCATTTCTATCTTGTGTAATAGAATTATTAATATAATGGACTATTTTTCTCTATAAAACAAGACATCACTACATACAAATATTAGAAAATATGAGAGTGGTCTCATTTCCCAAAAGATATACTTTAGCCTAAGACGGTATAATAGAAATGTAAATTTTGTTTAGTGTTGGGATACTATCTTAGCCAAGAGAGATTTAGTCATTATCTATGTTATTATAATGCAAGATGTACTTAAAGTTTTCATTGCATCAAATATTGTCTGAAGAGGATAGGGGAATAAATGATATAAAATATTTCATAGAACACAAGAAAAATGGCTAAAACAAATACACTTCCATTGATTATACAAAATTCCTTATCATGAAATTACAACTTCTATTTATATAAAAAAAATTCTTGTTATCAAATAAGAAAAAAAGGTTCAACAATATACGACATCATTGGGGAATTTCTTTGTTTTCTCTGTAAATATAACTGATTTTATGAAACACAATTCTGAAATAATGAACCAAAATTATGATTATCAGCATACAATAATGGAACTGCTTCATTTATTTCCAGAAACATATCTGCCAATGCACAAAGATTAAACAGAGACATGGAAATTGCTTTTAAAATTACTTTTGCCTTACTTATAAAATTACTTATCCTTTATTGCTTATAAAATTACTTATAAAATTATTCATTTCAGGGAGCTGCATTGTTTCATTTTCCTTTTAGTTTTTAATCTTTTTCATTTTGCATATCTTTCAGAATTAATGCATTTTATTGATAATGTCCGCTTCTTCCAAAATTACGAAATATTTAGGCTTCATTTTTATTTTCCACTTTAGTTTCATGTTACAATTATTCATCAAACTCGTATTTATACAAGATGAAAGAATTTTATACATGATAAATGAAAACAAAGATGAAATTGTTCAATTGTTACTCATTATTTTTAGGTCCTTGAATAGCAGTTATAATTTAAACTTTGAATGAAAGATATCAATATATTCACTGTTGAAGAGTAATAGTTAGTTTACATGTAAAATTAATGCATAATTTAAACACAGCAATTACACACACATACATATTGAGTGTATATACCTGCATATAAAATAATTTATATGTGTATGTTTACATATGAATATGAACATATACATGTATACACATAGAATATATATCTATATCATTCTCTTTTTTCTTCTCTTCATAAGCAAATAGAGAAATATTTGCACATCACAATAAATTACTTTGAATAATTGATTGTATGAAAACCATTAGCAAAATATCTGTAATATTGAAATAATCAAACCTGCACCTCCTAAAATAGGCTCTGAACAGCTATATATATATATATATATATATATATATATATATATATATATATATATATATATATATATATATATATATATATATATATATATATATATATATATATATATATATATATATATATATATATATATATATATATATATATATATATATATATATATATATATATATATATATATATATATATATATATATATATATATATATATATATATATATATATATATATACATATATATATATATACATATATATATATATATATATATATATATATATATATATATATATATATATATATATATATATATATATATATATATATATATATATATATATATATATATATATATATATATATATATATATATATATATATATATATATATATATATATATATATATATATATATATATATATATATATATATATATACACACACACACACACACACACACATATATATATATATATATATATATATATATATATATATATATTTTAAGTCAAGTCAGGCTTAGGCCTGCTACTGGTAACATGTAACTCAATACAAACTGCTGCATGGATGGGTGGTTAGCATCTAAACCAGTGACCCTACTAGCTTTTCTGCTGGTGTGGAGGTTGGGATGTCAACTCTCATAATGAAAAACAAGACCTGTCAAACAGTGGAAGATCCAATAGCCTCCTCACCCATATATATATATATATATATATATATATATATATATATATATATATATATATATATCAGGCTGGGATGGGTGTCAAACCTTGAATGCCAACCTTCTTTAAGATGGTGTCCTTGATAAAAACACTCAGTATACTTGGACTACTGTGAAAGCCTGGGCGGGGGGGGGTTGTCAAGGAAGATCATCCAGCCTTTGCTTTGCTTTTCCCCTCATCCTCCTCCTCCTCTTCCTCAGCTTCTACCACACCTCACGTCATGTGCTCATTTATTTATTTAATTTAAAAAAATATAGCATGCATAAATTTCTTTTGAAATTTTCTATTTTTAAAAAAAATAATTTTTTAGAAAATCAATTGACTAAAATTATCTAAAGATACCAAAAGGTTGAAACCAATGTAGCAGAATCTGTTGATCTCCTAATTTTATATATATATATATATATATATATATATATATATATATATATATAAAGAAAGGACAGTAAGATATATAATCTGGTGTTCTTATAGATATTTTTATTTTTATTTTTACAAAATAGTGCTCAATGTAAATTTAGAGAGCATTAATATTATAAATTAATTGATTTAAAATATGGTTTTTTCACTACACAGTTCTAACCATGTTTCAAAAATGGAAGCCAAAAGCTTCGAATTTAATTTTGTAATTAAATTAAAGACATTAATTCCATTTCATCCTCAAGCGAATTTTATGAAATAATGATTATGTTTCATCAAAAAGTAGTTAACCAAGGGCATTTCTGGGAGATAATGTTTTTTAGCCAATTTTAACCAAGAACTGCTACTTCTTCTATATGCCATATGGATGATTATAGCTCTCCACTACCTCCTGTCCTTTGCAATTCTTCATAACATTTGCCTTTTGCTATCCTTTCTACTCCCTGCACTGCCAATCATTTACACAAGCTCATTAAGTAGGTTATTTGATACTTACCTCATTCCCACTTACTTTCACAATGTACTGTGAGTGTCAAATTTTCCAGGCTCTCTTTCTTCAGTATATGCCCGAGAAATTTGAACTGCCTATTTCAAATTATAAGTATAAATATCTTTTTAGTTTCTATTTCCTTAAAACTTCATATTCAGTCCATAGTATTCTCAGCTTGGAAAACTACAATTTTAACCTTTTCATGTTATCTTGATTTTGAAATATCAACTGTTTCAAGTTATTTAATTCTGTGGATTCTATTATGAACCCTAATTTTCAGTTAGCCAGCAGTAATAACAGATACATGCATATGGTGCAAAAACCTTGATTCCAACTCCCAAATCTAACAACAAAATATAACAAAACAGGGCATAACTTTGAACCTGAATGTACATCATCATCATTTCAGCCATTTTTAATAAATAACTTTATTTTATACAACAACTGAGTGTGAATGAATATAAGAAAA